TTAGTGAACTGTGAATCTTAGTGCTGCAAATTAAAGCAAATTGCAGCTCCATCAGGCAGATATCTCATATAGAGATGATTTTTATGTCTATTTAACTAGCAATGAAGCCATTCCCCTTTTGTATCAAGAGGCATTTCACAGAAAATTAGTACATGTCTTACAGACATGCTGTCATACCCTTTCTGATGTTTTCATTCCAATGACTATTGGAATAGCAAAAAATGGAATCTCATCTTAGAGGAATGTGAGGTACTTCATGATAGCATCAATCTATCAGACACTTTGCAAATTCAGAGAAGCTACTCAAGTTAAACTAATGATAATGTTTAAACTATTGTTAATAATACATACAGAGCTAGGCTATTCCAGTACATCTGACCTAGATGATGAATTCAGATACATTTAGCAATGAACTTTGCCTCTGCATGTATTACACTATAGTGAACACTAGCTAGAAGTTGTCACATGAAAATGAAGGTGACAAAATAAGTCTTCTAGAAACTCTTTGTATAACTTTAATTAGTAATCTGAATCTCAGTCAGCCTTAGCATGGTCTGAGCAATATAAAGAGTGCTGCAGACCCAGATATTTTGATCAGTAACAGCTGAAGAGATAGAGAACTTTGTCATTCTTTTTCAATATCAAAATGCCCCTTCTTTTCTATCTTTCTTTTGTCTGACTTTGCCTTTTTTTCTCCGTTTCTTTCCTCCATGCAAATTTTGTTTAAAAATATATGCCTAAAGTCAAGCTTCCCATTTGAACTTCTACATCTCTTTCAGGCAGGTTTTCCAAAGTATTTAGATTGTGAAAACTGCAGATGGAAACATAGTGGGATTTTCAAAAGCACTTAAACAGATAAGGCACTTAGCTACCATATAAATTAATTAGATGGATTGAACAATTTCCCCTGGCACTTTTGAAAGTTCCACTGTAAGTGTTTATGTCTACATAAAAAAAAAAAAAATATTTTGAAAAGAGGCTTGTCATCCAGCAACTCCCCTTAAAGTTTATGACTAATACAGGTTTTCAGCAGTTCTGAAAATAATACAGTGTCCCTGGATCTAAGTTCCCAGATGACCCTCCCTCATTTTCTTTTTTTCTTAACAATTTCTATAATTTCTTGTCTGAAGTTAATCTCAGAGAAGAGGTAGGATCAACAGTACTATAATATACAGAGAAAAAAATTACACAGGTAAATCTTCTGCACAGGTCCAAGAAGCTGGATCCTTTGGTATTTACATTCAGTGATTGAAACAAATGATACAGCTTTAAGGCTATTGTAATTATGTCTTGTACTGGATTTCATTATTCCATTTATATTATGCAAAATAGCAGCTCAAAAATACATTACAGGCAAAGACTGATGCAGATTATGGACAGCTGGGAATAAACCAGATGACCAGAAGTAGCATGACTTTGCAGTCATCAGTTGCTTCATATGCACAAACCCTTAGCAGACCAGCTGTAGTAAAAGCAAGTAGTGCTCACTCGAAGGTATAGAATCCCCTGCCCTTTACTCTGCCTAAGTTACAGTTGTGTCTAAGTAGAAGTCTGAGGGTGTACACAGCAGTAGCATTTTGGTTTCAATCGAGGCTGCTTTTGAAATGAACCTGCTAATAACTCCCACTTAGCACACCTGCAGGTGGAGCAGGTCTCAGGCTGTGTGAACGGGATTGCTTTGGGTTGGAATGAAAACAGAAGATGCTTTCCAGGACATTTAATCTTCTTTAATCACCACCAGGTGTTCAGTCCACTGAACTACATCAAAATGAGTCCCATATAACTTTTCTTCCGAGACTCTGATTTCAAGTACTGACCTATGTGAACATCATGTCCACAGAGCCAACATTGCTGCTCCACAATCTCTCACTAAGCCACGTCGCTTGCTAATGCAGCTATAAACTGAGTTATCAGGATGGTTGTGTTAATGGGAGAATCCTAACTTTGTACCCACTTACAGAGTTAAAATCTTACAGTGTCAGATTTTCAGTTCTGCAGGTATCTTAAAGGGGATCTCCAATTTCAAACACAGGCCAGCATTTCACAGGGATGTGTCTTCTCTTTCTTGTTGCATAGAAAATTATATAAAAACATCACAAGCAAAAACTCGTGACATTTTATTAAGAGCTTTTTCAGAAATGTAGGTTGGCCTAAATGTAACTGTGTGTTTTGCTAGAAAAAAAAAACTAATCCAGACAAGACAGATTGTAAAACATACCTTGCATACCTTGTAAAATGTGCCTGCATACCTTGTATATCTTGTAAAATGTACCTGCAGCAGGCATTCTTTCTAGTTATTCTCTACATTGATCTAGTATTTTTGTAGAGTCCATTCTTGTCTGAATCTTTCCATCAGTAACAGCTAAGAGTGCTTATATTCATAACTTATTTCTTTTTGTTTAAAGTTTGATGTTTGGCCAGTGAGTTTTCCAACATTCATAACCTTGTATTGTCATGCTGGAAATTATATCTTGTGTAGTTTGTGTCGGATGTACTATAATGAAAAGCATAATATGACTCTTTACCAGTGACCTTCAGAAATAAGAATTTATCAGTTGTCGCTGCTGAGATGCATATCCTGAGGCACTCTAATGTATTGCCAAACAGGAAGAGTTTTTAAGCATGTTTTAAATGCACTGTCAAGAAAAATGTATGTAAAATCATAAGTAGCTGTACAGTGAAAGACCTTTTTCTTATTTTATTTTATTTTATTTTATTTTATTTTATTTTATTTTATTTTATTTTATTTTATTTTATTGTGGGATTTTATTTTATTTTATTTTATTTTATTTTATTTTATTTTATTGTGGAAGAAGCTCTGAAAGACACAGAGGAATTCAATGTACCTATCTAAGCTGTGGATTCACAATACAGTAAATGTGGCTTTAGGATGCTTAATGCCAGATAAGAAACACGGTAGCCTCATGGTATTAAATGCTAATCTGGTATAAACTCACATTGCTAAAAAATTTGGACACCTTGGCTTTGTCCTGTCAGGCTTTCTGCTAGACTAGATATTGCTTGTCCATACCATTCTAAATTTATGCTGGATCAGGTGTTGTGTACTCTCCTGGTGATTCTGAATTGTGCATGATAATCTGGTAAATGTGCAGGACTGTTCTGCTTTGGGTCATCCCAAACTTAACCACAGATCTGGATTAATGACCATGCACTCCTGTTGCCTCCATTTTCATAGTGTCTGACTAAATCTCAAGCTTTGATGTATTTATTCTAATATGGTGAAGGAGAATATGTATTTACTAGCACAGTAATTTCAACATAACATATATTTTTCTCTCTTGTCTAGTAAAGGAAACAGTAGGGTTTACTCTGGCTTTGAGAATTTCAGTGATTAAAACTCGGAAATTGTAATGAATATTTTCTTAGGGTGTCAAGTACTCTGCTAGGGGTCTATCAAAGGAGTTTGATGCAACTAGGATACTTTTATGGTTTTAGGAAGCTAGTTACATTATTTCCTTTCACATAGTCGATTGATAGTGCATTTTTTTGTCATTGATATAAAATATGGTTAACTCCTGTAGGTTCAGGACTGATGCAAATTCCAATGAAGTCCTTGAGTAGTTCTGGAGATTCACAGGGCTAGTTGTATTGAGTGAGTTTCTTGTGTCCTTGTTACTGTGTGGTCCCTTGTTTGTCCCTCTGAGTGGCAAATAACAGCAAAGTCCTACACTGTGGAGAAGAGTGGACAGAGGAGAGAAATTGTCTGCTTGTTGTTGTTTAATTCACCCTATTTGCTGCTGTAACTGATGCCTCAGCTCTCTGAGGAAGGCAAATGAGGCCAGCAATATTACGTTGTGATTTTCTTTCATCTGTTGAAAAATTGCTGGAAAAAAATAAACTGTTAAGGCCAAAATTATCCCTCTTGATAAGCTGTCCTCATTCTGTCCTCCTCCAGAAGGAACTGAAAACATTCCTGACGCATGAAGTTTTGTTATGGCTGTTTCACTTATAAATAAACCCTCCAAATGAATTAAAAGTACTAAATACTTAATAGGTAAGAACAAGGCATGTCCCTTGTCCCTGAGTGCTTACCACCTAACAAAGAAATGAAAGGTGGAGCATGGGAGCAACACGGAGTGATCCTGGTGCCTACAAGTATCTCTTTGCTCCATAGATTGCTCTGGTTCACTCTGTGTGACCTCTGGCAGAACACAATTCTGTTAATGGTGGGCTAAAGAGATCTGGGACCAAACTCAGTGATAATTTTAAGCAGGAAATGCTTTAATTCTGTGAGTTTCTTATTCAGATTTTATTTGGAGGGCATGCAGGAAGAATACATAAGTGAATGGAAAAAGTATATTTTATTAATGTGCTGCTGTGGAGAAATCTGGGATTTCCAAAAGAATTGGTTGTGTACATCTGTCCTATATACAAAAAGATCCTTGGACCTTTTAAATCAGGAGGACTGAAGTAGAAGTCATGAAAACTTTTTTCCATTATTATTCAGAAAGCCCTATATACTCATTTTCATCTTCTAGAAATGTAAACAAAACACTCAGGTGCATAAAATATCCACATTCATGGAAGAGGTAGGATCATGGATCTTTTTTTTTCTGGTGGTGTTTGTTCTGCTAGAGATGATGCAAGAAGATTTTAATCTATTTCTTTACTGTACCAAAAACTTATCTGAAACTCACATAACCTTATTTTCTAATTAAATGTTTGAGAACTACTGGTATTTATATTTGCATGTGATTAACTTTTAAAGCACTGTCTACAGGGCTTTTTGCTTTTAAACTAGCCTGTCGTCAATAAATATCTTTACAGACGTCAATTTGGTCAGCAGTAAAGAGGTAAATAGAAACTAATGACACTCATCAAGCCTGTGGCATGAATGATTTATTGGACACAATCATTTAACACTTTTATAAAGTCAATACAAGGGAAAGAAACAGGTTTCTTATTATGGTAAACTGTATTTGTACTGTCAGCGTGTAGTGATTTATGACAAACCTGTGGCCAGGATTAGGATATTATAAATGGGGGAAAATAGAAGGCTCGTTAATTTTTTATACCCACAGGTAGAAGACATGCAGTGGGCTAATAGACAACGCACTCACCCGGCATCTGTCTGCAGCCTGCCCTGTAAAGCTGGGGAAAGAAAGAAAACTGTGAAGGGGGTGCCCTGCTGCTGGCACTGTGAACGCTGTGAGGGGTACCATTACCAGGTGGACGAATTCAACTGTGAACTGTGCCCCATTAATAAGAGACCCAACGCCAACCGCACGGATTGCCAGCTTATCCCTATAATCAAACTGGAGTGGCACTCTCCTTGGGCCATTGTGCCTGTCTTCATCGCTATTCTCGGTATAATTGCCACCACCTTTGTGATTGTGACGTTCGTCCGGTACAACGACACCCCGATCGTCAGGGCCTCTGGACGGGAGCTCAGTTATGTGCTCCTGACTGGGATTTTCCTCTGTTACTCCATCACTTTTTTAATGATTGCGACTCCTGATACGGTGGTCTGCTCGTTTCGAAGGATCTTTTTAGGACTTGGCATGTGTTTCAGCTATGCTGCCTTGCTTACAAAAACAAACAGGATTCACAGAATATTTGAACAAGGTAAAAAATCTGTCACAGCTCCCAAATTCATTAGTCCAGCTTCCCAGCTGGTGATCACTTTCAGCCTCATATCCATGCAGCTTATTGGAGTCTTCATCTGGTTTGCTATCGATCCACCACATACTATCGTAGACTATGGAGAGCAGAGGACACTTGAACCAGAAAATGCCAGGGGAGTTCTCAAATGTGACATTTCAGATCTTTCTCTCATTTGTTCCCTTGGATACAGTATTCTCTTGATGGTCACATGCACTGTTTATGCTATTAAAACAAGAGGGGTTCCAGAGACCTTCAATGAAGCAAAACCCATTGGATTTACCATGTACACAACCTGCATAATTTGGTTAGCTTTTATTCCAATCTTTTTTGGTACGGCCCAATCAGCAGAGAAGGTAAGTGATGATAAGTTTACAGATCAAATGCTATCGTTTCTATATTTTCATGTCCTAATACTTAGCACTATAATATTTTCATTCTTATTAATGAGTAATTCTGAATGATAATTGCAAACAAACTCAGAATTCACAGATAATAAAATTTATGGTGCAAAAGATAGGTTTCCTATATTTTAATGCAAGAAACTGAATGTCATTGCAGTGTGGCTGGCATAGTAATGTTGACACTTTCTCAATATATCCTTAAATGACTGTTTCTTCTAACATTTATTATTACCCTTCAGTGCTGCTCTAGCCTGTTACATGAAGCACGATAAATCTTTGTTACCATCCACAGATTTGATAGAAATGGTTGTATTTCAAAAGTCTAAGAAGATCAGCTTACATTTGTCAAAAATAATGAAGAAGAATGCCTGGACAGAATGAAGAGAGTTACTTTTCTTTCTTGTTGACAGCTAAAACTTAAAAAAAAAAAAAAAAAAAAAAAAGAATAGGAGGAGTGAATGATGTGTAATTCACTAATTATTATCTTAGAGCAAAAAGAAGGCATTTTACTGATCTTCCAATAAGAAATTAAATGTTGCATACTTGGATATCTGTTATTCTTTGATCTTTCCTGATGTCAGTCATGGTGAGCAGTACAGCACATCAGACATTTAAGTCTCCTTCTCCCAGTTCTGATGGGAAGGCAGGCAGAGGTAAGTGTCGACTATGGGAGTTTTTATCCAGCTGATAGTGATGAAAATGACAAGCTGGGTAGGAAAGAGCAATAATACAATCATCAGTCTTCAAAACAGCACATCTGTAAGATTTGGAAAATCTTAAAAACAAGAAATTAAAGTCACTGGTGTTATCTTAAACTCCCCTTTTAGCAAATGTTTTTTGTTTTTGTTTTTTTTTTCATATATAATGTTTAATAATATACATTTTAATGTAATAAAAAAGTCAACATATGTCCATTTATTGTGAAAAAGGTTTGACATGCATCTGGTTTAGAAGGCACTCTCGCCTGCGGAATAAAGCACAGGTCTGTATAGCTTGATAAAGTACCTGCCAATTCAAGCAGAGGAATTGTATGAGGGAGAGAATGTGGCACAAAAACATTTTCCTCACTAAAAATTGAAGTAAGCAGGCTTGCTGAATCGAATCAGGGTTGATCTCCCTGGCCTTTTGGATTAAGTCAGGGGAAGCAAGTGCCAAAGTAATGGCATATCATAGATACAGTAAGTAAGGATAAAACAAAATCCTGTTTGATATAAGGAAACATATTTAGGTGAATTGTATTTAAAGCCTGGATTTTTTGTATGTGTAGGCTTAAGTCAGAAAAATACTTTATTGTATAAATGTCTGGTACTTTCTGTTTTAACAGCTTGACAAGTCAGTTTTATGTCAAGTACCTCTAACAAAAGAAATTTATTTCTGGGTGTTGAAACACAGAAAATATTACTTGGCTAGCAACTATACAATGAGTTTTGATTTACACCATTGGTTCACTTTAGTTTATAGTAAAGGATGATTTGGTTTTGACCTCTAAAGACAAGATTAGTGAACGCATTTTGCATTTCTTTTACGAAACTCAAGCTTGAACACAGAAATTATACTGAATCACACAGATTCTAACACTAAATTTTACTTGTTAGCTCCCTTTTTTTTCTAAACGATTTGTTATTTTTCAAATAATGACTTTCAGGAAGAAAACCAGCAAACTATTATGTTAATACAGTAGCTCTGTATTTCAAATAATTCTTTTACCAGTGTTGCTGCATTATGCTTCAAATAAAACCTTATTTCCACAGTCTTATGGACATCATTGTAAGAGTTTGTGTATTCATACAATTAAATTTCTTGTCTGAATAGGAAAAAAAGTAATATCCTGGTACACAGACATATACATTACCTGAATAAACTCAAAGTTGCTTGTAGCTTTCTCAGTTAATTCATAACACAAAAAAAAAAAAACAAACCATTTTTAGAGCAAACTGTTATAGAATATCTTATTTGATGATATGATCCTTTTTGAGGATGAAAGAAATGGAAGAAATCAAAGAGAACCTAAACTTAAACAGACTTTTATTAGGTACAGAGTTATTTTTCAGTTGATTTTAGAATCTTGAAATTATTTTTTTTTTTTTTTTTATGGCTTGTGTCTGTTCAGAGAGAACAGAGCAATAAGCTGGGGAACGGAAAGTACTATTTAAAAGCAATCATTCTTTTTCTGCAATGTTGACATTAATAAAAATCAACATGCCATTCATTACAACCCAGGTGTACTTCCAACTAGCAATTCATGGAACTATTAGCTTTAGACACACTTCTGTTTGAATAAAGAGCAGCTAAAACTTTGTAAAGTTTTGAGGAACTTTCCTTGTTTTCCTAAACATTATTAGTGCTTACAACAGTAGCAGAAGTTATTATGCATTTTTTGAAGGAGAGGTTATTTCCTTAACTATTCCATGAACACAGATTAAGTAGAAGGCATATTGAAAAGCTTTTATTTTTATTACATTGTCAAAATATTTCCACTGATTAACAAAAAAAATCAAGACCAATAATGTTAAAACAGGTCTCTAGATCTAAAACTCATAGACTGTCATGGAAGGGTTACTTTTAGTGGCCTTGGGATCGATTCCCACAGGTCTAAATTTGCTAAGAGGTTTTGGATAGTATTTTGGGGACTACAAACCTGTACAGTCAGCAGAAATCCATAAATTCAGTGTTGGTGTCTGTCACACTTTAAATATGTGTGATGAAGGACATGTAAATGAGCAGAAGTACTTTTCTGCAGACAGGCTGTGAATCTTGCTGATATGTCCTTGTTGTGAAGCACAGGATGGGAAAATCCTCTCTCTCTACTGTTCATATGAGGAACCCTGGGTATCTAGCTGGTTAATACAGCCGAGTTAAATGCCTGAATTTGCATGATGTGACAGATCCATAAGAGGAAACATGGTAAAAGTTAAGGCAACTTGACAAGACTCAGTGGGAGTATGGTGATTTAGAGTCTTGACATTGGTAACAATTAACAGTCCTTTACAACAGTTGCTATTTCTACTTGTATACATAATCTCAGTTTACATGTGAGTTTAAAAATAATGAAAAATTGAGAAAGCTGCTTTATCATATTCAAGAAATCAAAAATAAAACATACACAACCAATTAACAAAGGGTTAGAATACCATTCCAAAATAATCCTGCATAACCTAATCTTGGCAGCTTTTATGGAACTCCATGTTTATTATTCATACTTAATCCCAAGAAGCAGAATATAAAACTCCTGTGCTATTAAACATACCATTTTTGATTGTAATTTCTACAGCTGTTCTGCAGAAAATGGAGCATTGACTTTAAGTCTTCTGTGACTTTTTTTGTCTAATTTATGATTTTGTCCATTCATGATCAAACTTACTTTGACAGCTGCTGTGTTATGAAATGAATCCACTACCACTAGTTAAATTATTCCAGTGCATCACTGAACTGAATTAAAAATCTATCCTTGAGACATAAGACACCAATATTCCAAAACTTGTTTAAATGTCAGTGAGTTGTTTTAGAAGCAAAGGAGGGAAATTCTGTGAGAGAGAATTCTGTGAATACAGCCTTCATCTGTCATGCACGTGTACATGGCAAAACACTGGAAGTACTGGGATCATCTAGAATAGAAATGTCTGAAATGTCATCATGACTGGTGATTAGCTGAGTGGTTAAAACAGATGTTTGATGAACCTCTGGGTAAAATTAAGTTACAATGGCAGGCTGAACAAAATGCAGCTGAGGATAGATGGCTGTCTAAAGCACATCCTTATTTGATAAACTGAATGTTTTTATTTCCTTCCTTTTACCAGTTTTGACAAGTGAATGAATCATCATCATTCACCAATAATAAGACATAATTTATTATATTAAACTGGAAATACTCTATTTTGAATGAGAAGATGAATACCTGTTTCCCAGACTGTGAAAGAAAGAGGTTACACTTTCTGCTAAGGAAAGAGAACCATAGAAAATGCTGAATGATTTCTTCCTTCTCCTCCCACCAGAAGCAATGACAAGGTGTAATCTAACAAGGTGGATAAATTTTAACATATTTCCAATTATTGCAACAAGTTTGATCTCTCTTTTAACAACTGCAACACAGGCAAAACAAGTTGTCACATATGGTAAAAATCTCCCCATAAAGTACTATCCTTATGATCTCACAATTCTAGCTGTTTTAATCCTGGATTTACTGAACATGTGGATCTTATGCTTATATCCAGCTGTTTATTAGTAATATTAAAAAAGCTAGAAAGAATTCTAAGAGTATTCCAATGTAATTAATATTCCATTAATTTGACTTGTAAACTACAGTTTGACAGCAGTAGTCGTCAAGAGGAAGATATTCAGTTGTCAGTGGGAGGGAGAGGTAGTTCCATCAGCCTAGTAAGATATGTTCTTCAGCTTAAAAAAACCTACTAATGACAATTCAGGTTTAGACCCCAAGTCTACAAAATCTATACAAATATCTTCTTTTTTTTTTTTTTATTATATGGGTGTTTATGTTATGAATTCTTGTCTGAAAGTATTCCTGTCACTATAAGAAAATAAAGTATCTTAATGATGCCTCAGTGTGTCAATGAAGCAGATTGCACTGAGCCTTTTCTTCAGCCCAAAGCATTCTCTTCTAATCATGATCCTATTCTCTTCAGCTAGTCCATGCAGGACACATCACAGGAAAAAGTCCAGAAAGACATTTTATGATGAAGTGTTTTTCTTCCATTTTATGAATAATACTTGTCTTGATTAAACTAGGATCTGTAATGCCAACACTGTGCATAACATGAAGATTAATCTGAGGGAAATTTGGAAGAGATTCTAATTTCATTATTATGGAATACAAAATTAGAAGACTGCTGGAGTGATTCTTTCCACATTCAGCAGTTTATCATTGTTCAAAACTCAATTTCTGTGCAATTGCTGATTTTTTTAGAGTCTTTAGAATATGGGGCAACCTGCAGGAT